AAAATTGTTACGTACATCCGGGGAAGCGAAACCAAGCCAATTGATTCAATGACAGACCTTATGATACAGCGCGCACGTGCTAACCGTTCAGCCATCCACCCCCTAGTGCGGGTTAAAAGAAGTGCTATCGTACTTTCTGCAACTTATTAACCAGTTTAAAAGGTAAGCCAGCTAACAAAGAGTTAAAATTTATGATCAAAGCATTAACAAGTGTCTTAGTTGCTTGTAAACTTATGAATTGTCTTATTTGTTCTATCTTTCTAATGTTACAATACCAGATTTTATAAACATTATTAACTTTATATTCCATATTCATATCTTTATCAAAGATGGTACCGGGGGAGGGGGGAGGGGGTTAGCGCGTTGTATCATAAGGTCTGTCATTGAGTCAAATGACATGGTATCGATTCCCCGGTATGCGTGACAAAGAATGGGGTCGCCTGTCCAACCTCCGGTTTCTTCCCACTGCTAAAGACCCCTACGTGCAAGCGAATTATTGAAATGAAATTGAACAATACATGTATATGTTAGTCCCGTAATGACCTCTCTCTCTCTCTCTCTCTCTCTCTCTCTCTCAAAGATGGTACCAATATCGATACAATATCACTATCAACAATAGCAAATTTAATTTTAACAACTGCTTGTTTCCCGCAATTAAAATATATTCAGTTTTGTCATCATTGAGTTTTAGAAATAGAACATTTTTCGATATCCATAATCGGATTTCAGAAATACGTTGGGCCATTTTAAATTTAGAATTAACAAAGGAAATGGGGCTTTGGGGGTGAAAATGGAATATACAGCTGTGTGTCATCTGCATATAATTTCAAATCAAGACAACATTTTCGAAGAGTTATATACTAGAGATGATGTATACAAAGTAAATAAATAGGACCAAGGATTGAGCCTTGTGGTACACCAAACACTAATATACACTCAGAGGATGATTTACCATTTATAACAATACTATGTTTCCTTCCAATTAAATAGCTTTATAAATATTTTAGTGCAGAACAACCAATACCAAATTTAAAACAAAGTGCTTTGAAATTTTATAATTAATAATTATCAACTCAGATAACTGCACCCTGTCGACTAGTTTCATTATGGATGTTACACAGTCTTATCGAACTCTATTGTGCATTTGATCCCCGTCGCGCCCCGCCCATTCACGAACGTCGGTTACGCGTTACAATAGCAGCCCACGATTTTGAGGTAATGAATTTAAACTCAGCAGTCAAGTATCGACCCCTTCTTGATCCTGACGCTAGTTAAAACTTGAATATTCTTCCTGTAATCTTATTATATATGTATTTTAACACTCGATATACATGTATATTGATAATTATAATCTATGTTTATATCATTTATGTGTCTTGCTTTTGGGAAGCCGATTTATATAAGCCTTTGGCTTGTTTCGGTAACCTGTGAATAAAATATTGGGGGGGGGGGTAAAAAAGAATCTAAAAGGATGAAATGATCAACGGTATCAAATGCAGCAGATATATCTAATAAAAGTAATACGATGATGATTGTATTTCGTTTCGTTTTTTATTGTTCAAAATTTTGTTTTACTTGTCTTCACAACACTAGGGTCTGGAAGAGTTGTTATATAACAGGCGTTCTATTGGATGTGGGGAATTAGCCAGTGAAACGGTCTGTTACGGCGAGTTCTTGGCGTGTTCTGCACGGAACTGTGGGTAAACCCCCTAAAATAGTTTTGAAATAAAGCTAAGGTTGGAAACGGGTCTATAATTGTTTTAAAACATTGCAGTCAGGATTTGTCTTTTTTTTTATTCAATTTTCGTCGGGTCCTTCGGTTTCCTCCCACTGCTAAAGACCCCTACGCGCAAGCGAATTATTGAAATAAAAAAATTTAAACCATATGTTAGTCCCGAAATGACCTAGTGTGTGTCGAGTGGACGTTAAACCCCATTTTTCTCTCTCTCTCTCTTTTTAATCAAAGGTGACATAACAGCATTTTTAAAAATACCAGGAAACATGTATCAATTTATAATGTCTTTTAATACGGGATTAATGTTGGATAAACATTTTTTAAGCACGTGTTCAAAAGTGCAACAAGGTAAAAAAATTAATCAAACACTCTTATGTTGGTCTGACACAGACATGTTGATATTAAATTCAATCTTCGGGCGATTTTTTTTTGACGGATTTTATGCAATGTAACACAAAAAGCATAGTTTTAATTTCCACGTGTGTTGAATAACTGTATATCAGACTACTTAGCAAAATCAATGCTTTCAATACTCATGACAGGAGGATCGGGATTCTGATTACATATACTGTCCCATTCTTTGATTATTTAAAAAATCAACTGGATAAAAAGGTGTTTATGTCCTACTTTTCTGCACCAACCGGGATAATGAAGACTGGTAAAAACCATTTCGTCTTCATTATTCCGGTTGTTGCAGAAAAGTGGGATATTATGTAACTCCATTTTTTTTTCACTCATTCATTGTTGATTTTCGGGCGTCACAGTGGCTAAGTGGGAAAGGCGCTGGTTCGCTAGCCTGGAGATCGCGTGTTCGATCTCTGCATTGGCCGAGAAAGTTCATCCAAATTTTCCGGCGCTGTTCCCCTATTGTCAGTGATGCGGGACGGAGGGCCTGACAAGAACCGAGGTCCCGTGTACACATTGGAGTGAACGTAAAAGATCCATTGACAGTTGGAATTCGATAAAAAAAAAAGTAGGCTATAGTGCCGCTGTCCGGGCAAAATTTCCCTCATACCCAACTGTACGGCGTATGCCCATCTTCATTATCCCAGTTCGGAGCAGAACAGTAGTTCGTTAAATCCCATTTCATTTCATTTCTTTTGTTGATTTTCAACAGGGAGCGAACGGTGGCTCTGTGTATGAAATAGCTTTATTTTATTTAACCGTTATCTCACCGTGACTCTATAATTACATTACAAATATAGAATTATATAAAGAGAAAGGAATGGAATTCTACGTCCACTAGGTCATTTTGAGACTAACATATGGTTCCATTTTTTATTCACAATAATTCGCTTGCAAGATGGTGTCTTTAGCAGTGGGAGGAAATGAAATGGGGTTTAACGTCCTACTGTTCTGCTCCTATGCTGGGCTAATGAAGACGGGCATACGCCATACAGTATGCTATGAGGGAAATTTTGCCCGGGCAGCGGCACTATGGCCTACTTTTTTTTGTACGCCCACATTTTCATGTGGACGTATAATTCGCTTGCGCGTTGGGGTCTTTAGCAGTGGGAGGAAACCGGAGGGCCCGTAGGACCCGGAGAAAAACCCACGAGGTTGGACAGGCGACCCTACTCCTTGTCACGTACAACCGGGGAATCCTAAATGATCGAAGTGTGCCAGCTGTTGACGGGATGATAAGCCATATTCCACACTGGATAGTAGCTAATTTAAATTGGATGTGAAATTTATTCGCAGCAATACTTGAGGGATCAAGATACTAGCGGTCTGTGGGATGCTTACACACTTACCCACAGAATACCAAATAAGTAAAATAATTATATATATTATTCACGTGTCACCGTCCAAACAAAAATTATAAAATATTCATATATATATATATTTATCCAAAAGACTCCAATAACCATCATAAAATACTACCTGAATTAATTACTTTCTCGGTTAATATATATATGACGTCCTTTGCAAGCGTATTATGCAATGGTAAGGCACTGTAAGTGACACAAACTATTAAATTACTTGCATGCACGATTAATATTAAATAGAAAATACCATGCCTGTTAAGAGTATTTTGTATGTGAAGTGTACATATTACTATTAAATAAGGAGACGAATTAAAATAAGCCTTTGTCTTGTTTTTGAATCCTTACCTTTTGACAGTGTGTGTATACAATATCTATCTTATTTGAATAAAATATTGTTTAAATCAAAATATATATACATGTTGTTGTTCTTAGTGTTTAACGTCCGCTTCCACCGAAGCTGATATCGCAGACAAGTCTTCTTTTTTTTATTATTATCTTAGCGCACGCGCAGGGGTCTTTCCTGTGGGAGGAAACCTAAGTACCCGGAGTAAACCCACGAGGTTGAGAAGGCGCCCCTATCTCCAAGCCACATATAACAGGAAAAAGTAGATATAGCAGTTTGATATCGACTTTGAGACTTCGACACTTTTGATTTTTAAGTTGCATCTTATAAATCGGTCAATTTCGAATCGACACAATTAGCACTTATTAATTTGCAGGACCTAATTAGAGCCGTCCCAATTAATTAAAAATACGTGTTAATTATTTTTGTTTGCTAATTAACACTCGTTGATAGAAAAGACCATTCAATTAAAGACGCTAAAAACGACTCACCACAAACAATTTTTTAAAGAAAATTAAAATAAAATATCTACCATATTAAAATATAGTCATACACACTTCAAATAAATGGAAGCCATCAAAATCCAAAAACAATAGGTCGCCAATTCCCGCGCTTTCCCCCCCCCCCCCCCGTAAGGCAAAGTTTAATGTTCTGAGAGATAATACCCGATTTTATACATGTAATCAGATTAAAATTTGTCGTTATAATATTGTTTAAAAGTTGTATAAAAATTAACTTTAGTGAAGTTTAGGAAAAAACAGATGATAATTTTATGGTTTTTTTATGTTGTTCACAAGCTGTAGCCGCTGTAGGCCTACATTATTTTTAGCGCTCGTTAGTTGTTTCTTTCAAGTACCCTTTTAACACATTTTCCTGTTGACTGGGTAGATAAATTTAAAGTTATTCTGAAAAACTGGAGAACGTAAGCTACAGATTAGACAAACGTAATCCAGCGTCTGATAGTCTTGTCTTCACAGTTTTCAAACGATAAATATCATCCAGACGCTACAATTATCCACACTCAAGATTGAATTTGAAAAAAAAGTAATTTCAAACCATTGTGTTGTTTTCGTCGTCGAGGACAATGCATTAACTATGTGGCGTTTAGAAGGATTAGGTTTTACAAATACACTGTAAGCAGGTTGCACGCGACTGATAGCTTATACACCATCAGACTGCCATTCGAGGCGTTGATTAGTAGCGTCTGTCTGTCTGGCGCCTGTACAACTCTGTCCGCCTGTCTGACTCTTTGCCACCATTCTGTATAATTCTGCGTCTGGTTGGCTTTGCAGACAGTGTTGATGACGACTGAGGGACGCCGCGTGCATTCTATATCGTCTGCCATCTCTTCGATTTTCGAGTCGTGGTTTTATTCGATAAAAGAAATGTGTGTTTTCTTCGGTGGCTTGACGCATGGCTCGTAAATCGGGGCCAACCAGACAGACAGCGCTGTATTACTTGTAATTTCCATGTTTGTGACTGAATGTCTAGGAACTGCTATACATCAAATCCGTTGAAAGACATAAATATAATTCCAAGAAACAAGTGTGATCAAAAAAGGACGTCACGTTGAACGAAGGACATCGTAGAGTTACCTGGTCGTTCTAATGCACGTGAGGAACTGATGATGTAATTGGTGAAGCCACTTGTTGTTTGTATACAGGAGGTCACGCGGTATTTCCGAGGTCATTTTGACCCAGTCATAAGTACGTAAGTATAACATAATACACATACTTTTCTGTTCGCTGCAACCGCACTGATGTAGTTAAAATGGCTTATATTATATATCACGTTTTATTTGACAAGTGGGTCTCTTGTTTCGTTCCTGTGTCGATTTACAATTTATTGTAGGAACTCATAACAAATTTATTCAACGATTTATTTAAAATTTAACCTAACAGTAAATTTACCGCTATTGTTAATTACGTGATGAGACACAAGGAAGAAAAGGATGAAAACGAATGCATTGTTGTAATACTAAAACAATATTTCTCACAATGTATCCGCTAAAAAACTCCGGGATAAAATCGTTGTGTCGTCTGCACGCGTTTTACTGATAAGAAAAAAAAATGTGTGCGTTTTCTGTTTTCGATCGATAAAACATAGGCTATAGACCCCAACTAAATGCGGCTGTGATAAACAAATGCATATATACGTGTATAGATGCGTTACTAAACTTAATGTTTTGTGTAAAATACGTCACTGTCTGAGAGGGAATAAAGCTGGATGCCTTTGAGTAGATTTAATTTATCTTTTTACCCAGATTAGCAACACTGAGACCTAGTCCGCTAGTGTTAGTGAAATAGATTATTCCTAAGATTAAGATGAAAGAGTTTTGATCATTTTTTCTACATTTTTCTTGAATTAATTTCATTACGGCGATCACATCTCAGGAAGGTCGAAAACACGACAAATAAATGTGCATTATAATAGCGGGGAAACAACTAGAAAATTCGTCTGCTGGAAAACGTCAACCGCCTGGATAATGAAGTGTAATGTCCAACACGTGGAAATCTTATTTATCCAGACGTTAAATATGATTATTGTACTAATGCCGTTATGAAGCTGTCGCTGTCAACACTGTTTAGCTATATCACACAGCAATAATACATCGCGTGAGATATGTACATGTGATATATGGCGAATATACATTTTCAGTAATGTGTATTCGCCATTGTTGGATAGACAATAATTCACAGTCTGTGCGGTTTATGCGAGGGTATAAGATCCCGTTCTTAATTGATTTGCCATAAAATACATATATTTTATACTTATTGCCCGACCACTTAGATTTAATGAGGGGTTATTCCATGTAATGTTTTTTTATTGTCACGAGATTTTCCAAGTTATAAGATAAAAGACAACTCATCGCAACCTTTTTAAAAAATTGTACTCATCCTAAATATTTGTAATCCTACTGAATCCAAGCCAGACGATTATATGCTGCTGATATTTTGATTGTGTTTACTGAATTAAATTTTTAAAGAATCAATTTGTGTACATGGATCAATCTGTGGAAAATTTGATAATTTTTTAAAATGGAAATTGATTAAAAATTGTGAAAAGCCATAAGTATAAATAGAGAGAGAGAGAGAAATGGGTTTAATGTCCACTCGACCAAACCAAGTCATTTCGAGACAAACATATATATGGTTCAATTTTATTTCATTAATTCACTTGTGGTAGGGGTCTTTAGCAGTGGGAGGAAACATGAGGACCCCGTGAAAACCCATGAGGTTGGACAGGCAACCCTACTCCTTGTCACATACAAATGGGGAATCGAAACCACTCCACTTGACTCAATGACAGACCTTATGATTCAACGCAAATGCATTATCCATTCGCCCCCCCCCCCCATAAGTATAAGTAGATCAACGCACATAGTCACTGACCCATCTAGTTTGTCTGATCTCAACTAAATATTTCCTCAGTTGTGTTGTAAATACAGTCATATAATATTAAATTATATTTTTATAATCTTTTTTAAATTGGTGAGACACACAGATGACCATTTTGCACCTACCATAATCTTAACAAGTCATTAATAGAGTTGTATTGTTTGCACTAAATTATCTGTCTACAAATTCTTATCAAATTGACAATTTGACACATAACCAGGACAGGACCAATTTATCAACATATCAAAATACCTGTGTGGTATTATGATGTCAGTGTTATCATAATCAAACCAATATCAACATATCAAAATATCTATGTGGTATTATGATATCAGTGTTATCATGATCAAACACTAATAATCATTTTAACCTCTATATTTTAGTGTCAATATATTTTTCATGATTCGGGCTGTGGCATAAGGAGCAGAAGGGCATTGGTGGTTGATATCCTAGGGTGCAGTCCAAAAGAGACACAAAATTTGACTTTCCCTTTGAGTGCAAAAAAACCCTTGGTAATCCACTGGATTTGAGAGGAAATTAACTTTTTGCATAGTCATTAATGCCCCCTCCTACCCCATTACAAAAAATAAAGATATTTTTTACTAAAAACAAGGATATTTTTAACTAAAAACAAAGATATTTTAAACTAAAAACAAAGATATTTTTTAAAACTAAAAACAAAGATATAAAACAAAGATATTTGTTTAAAACTAAAAACAAAGATAGTTTTACTAAAAACAAAGATAGTTTTACTAAAACAAAGATAGTTTTACTAAAAACAAAGATTTTTTATTTTTTGTTTACTAAAACAAAGATAATTTTTTTATTTATTAAAAACAAAGATATTTTTTGTTTACTAAAATCAAAGATATTTTTTTATACTAAAATCAAAGATATTTTTTATACTGAAAACAAAGATATTTTGTAACTAAAAACAAAGGTATTTTGTTACTAAAAACAAAGATATTTTGTTACAAAAAACAAAGATATTTTGTTACGAAAAACAAAAACAAAGATATATTGTTATGAAAAACAAAGATATTTTGTTACGAAAAACAAAGATATTTTGTTACCAAAAACAAAGATAGTGTATTCATAGTTTTTCCAACTGTGTTAATCAAGTTTATTTCTATTTTATCTTAACAGGAAATTAAAAACACTAACAGAATTTCTATAAAGATGGACACACCAAAATCTGCGACAAGTTCACCATCAAAGGACAGAACAGACAATGAATTGGATGAAACAAAGACATCAGCATCATCGAACCAATCAAAATTGTTGACACAGAATGATCCACATTTACAACCATCACATACAATAACCTCTGACCCTGTGCTAACTAGTTATAATTTATTCAAATCTAAACAATTCTCCCAACCAACTAGTGACTCGGATGACGAATCTTTGGACGGAACACCCAAATATGGACAAAAAAGAAGCGACACTCTTCCGAATAGTTATTTTAGTTGTCTGCCAATTTTAGGATGGGAGAACACGGATTTATATTTAGATTCTTACTCAAGTGACGAAGATAGTAAAGCCAAGCTTAAAATATTTGGAAAAGGGAAAAGTCTGTTGAAGAAAAACGTGTCAAAATCAAGTAAGAAAACAACCAGTGACAATAAACTCAAAGACAGTATTTTATCGAGTTTTGCAGAAACCTGCTACAAGTGCAAACTATGTAAGATATCACCATGTTATATGGCTAGCGTAGAAAGCTTCATTTTCCACATGAAAAACCAACATTCGGACATTTATAAGGAGATGCTTTTAAAATCAACGGTTGCCAATGGCAACTGTAGTCAAGTAAATGATGTCATACGATATGAGGGGTCATCATCTGATGAAGGTATGTGTAATTATGCTGGCCGAATAACAAGTGAACATTTGTTAAAATATAGTAAGCTGTGGCAAAATTCTCCCAAATCATCGGCGACTGATCCTAAACCAACGGAAGATAGCAAACCAAAAAATACAAACATAGAGCAGATACAAAAGGTCACGGACCAATTCTTGAAATCAGCTGCAACCGTGAGTCTACCAAACTGTCAACCAAAGATCCAAAACGGCGTAGTATCAGGAATTCCACCAAAGCTCCAAAATGGTACCCAATCTCCGATTTCAGTGCCAGCGGCTCCTAGCAAAATCATACCAGCAACGAATCACACACCAAAGAATGATAAATCAGGATGGAAAGGCGATCTTCCACCCAGTTTTACCCCAGAGTTCGGCAGATATACCAAACTCGTTCGTGAGGGTGGAAATATCGTGTACTTCTGTCAAGTTTGTAATTGGAAGTGCCAAGTCAAGGCAGCATTTACAGTTCACTGCAATGGTCAACAGCATCATAATAAAGTTCGTTTAGCTGACCAGAACAATGTGGAGAAATGTAAACAAAAAACAGAGCCAAATAACGTAGAGGCAGCCATTCGCAAAGCCATCGATTACAGTAACAATCTGAACAATAACAAACAGGCTAACAACAGCAACAATAACAACAACAACAACACTGTCAAATTACCTATCATCAATGTGCCAAAAGTTCCAAACTTCAATAAAACATTCGCTCATATTCAAGATCCAACGAAACTCTTTGCAAACAAAGATTCCCACGAGAAACCACTGGAACTGGAAAAGTCTGAAACGAGAAACAAACGAAAACGACCATTTCCTGTACGTAAGTCGTCGCCAAACGGAGATGATTGGGCTGATTCTGAATCAGATGATGAAACAGAGCTCAAGAAAACCAGGCGCGAGGAAACATTTACTAACTATAATAATGCCGAAGAAATCAGCAAAACCAAATCCCAGATGCTCGGAAGTTGTCCGTCAATGGTTCCAATGGATGACTATTTCTCCAGATATTCAGCTCAGAATTATCGCCATGTACCTGATCTTGTAGGCTTTGAAAACAAGGGAGAGAAGTCAAATGAAGAAGTGGAGAAAGAAATGTCTTTAAGTCTTCCATTATTCCCAACTGGATACACTGGTCTACTTCCTGAATCTAGGGATGATAACTCTGATATCCAGTACCGTTGTACCTTTTGTAATGTCTTCTGTACCGGTTTGTCCGATTACAAGGATCATTTTAAAATGGAGCACGACATTGAATCGCCTGATCTCACAATGGCTGACGGAAAGGGCGGACAAAACAACGAATGGTGGAAGATGATGAAAATAAAAGAAACGTTATCAGGTACAAGATATCATTAATTACATGTACATAGCTCTCACATTACATGGGTAATGATTAATGGTGGGTAATATGTAATAATGGGTAACGGGTAATGTTTAATGGTTGGTAATATGTAATAATGGGTAATGATTAATGATTAATGGTGGGTAATATGTAATAATGGGTAATCATTCCAAGTCGCTGCATCTACTATTAAGTGGAACAAACTACCATTAGACCTTCACAGAAGTCCCACACTTAATAAATTCAAATCTCACTTGAAAACTTATCTGTTTAAATTATATTATTAGAAACTTGTGTATTATGCGCCATGAGCACGTTTTGTGGATATAGCGGTTTATAAATGGACATTATTATTATTATTATTATTATTATTACACGTTTTTAAGTACATATTTTGATCATGTAATGGACAATTTCAAAAGTATTGAGTAATGGAAATATAATTGATTACATTCCCCACAAATAAGTCATAGTCAATTACATTTTTATTACTTTTTAATTACATTTTATTGCAAATATCAATATTTCTAGCTTTGACAGGCCTCAAATTTTAGTATTAGTATTAAAGACATAAAATATGTATGACATACAATATGTCTCTCACATAATGAAAAGATTTTGGGGTTAATGCATGATCATGTATGTATTTCCCAATCTGATTAAAATACAGATCTATATTTTGTTTTGTTTTTTTATACTTTCGATGGCCTACACTACATCTGACTGGTTGTAGTGGAAGGTCACGTCAGGTCATACGAGCGGCTTTTGACCTTATAATGTCAAACATTTGATTAACCAATCAGCATTGATGGGTTATACACAGTTCGTGCATCTCATGCCAAAAACTCGTCGTAACCGACCGTTCATTGGCTAATCCCTCACATCATCCAGAACGCGAGTTATATAACAACTCTTCCAGATCCTAGTGTAGTAAAGACAAGTAATACGAAATTTTGAAATATAAAAAATCGAAATAAAATCTTGTGTTTTAATCAGATGTATGTATTACCATATTTATAGAAGACCAACTGGTACATACTGGATGTCAGGGACCGTAAAATATAAAATTTTCGTAAAATTTTGTCATTTCGCATAAAATTATCTTAAAATAGAAAAATATAAAAAATTTAAAATTTCACCATTTCTTATAAAATGAGATGAAATTTTTTTCAAAATATAACATTAACCATAAATCGCAACTCTCGCTATTTCTATACTAATAAATCTGGTTTTGAATAAGAAAATCATCCAGGCATTTTATGACCCCCAGCTTGCTGTTCTCTTTCATTTTCTATTTGACAATGTTCAGTTAATGTTATGATGGTATATGTATATGAAATGAAATTAAATGAAATTTGGGTTTAACATCCTACTATTCTGCTCCGACTGGGCTATTCAAGACGCCTGACGGGCACACGCCATAATAGTGTACTATGTGGGAAATTTTGCCCTGACAGTGGTGCTAATGCCTTCTCTTATATTCAATTCCATCTGCCAAGAGATATTTCACGTGCATGCCAATGTGTACACGGGACCTTGGTTTTTTGTACCATCCGAATGACTAGTTAGCTGTGCTTGTCAGGCCCTGCATCCTTCACCACTGACAAGAGGAAACCACGCTAGAAAACCCTGACGGACTTTTACGGCTAATACCGGGAGTGAACCCGTGACCTCCAGACTAGCGAGCCAGCATGGGTATATGAACATAGAAGAAAATGACTACGATCATTAATACCACCAGTGCTACTGGTGGTACGTTCTTATCCACATAACACTTTCTGAACACTAACGCATAGACCTGAGTTAAGTTATTTAAAAAAAAAAGTCATAATATTTGATAATGATAAAAGCAAAACTCCATGAAATGTGATAAAAACAGGATAAAAATATCATAAAATATGATAAAAACATCATAAAGATCATAAAATTCCACAAGAGACTTTAATAAAAAAAATATGTGTACGGTCACTGGTACTGGTAGTACAAATTCACATGGTTAACAAATAAGGCAAACCGAATTAAAATTTAGTCCTTCAGGGGATCAGGATCAATAAATATCCACTTTGGAATGATGTATTGTGAAAAAACTTTAAAATTTGTAACTAAAAGCTTTTGAGATAAACAACCAAATACTTTTTGTTCATAGGAAGTAAAATTTCCTGAAAGATATATTTTCAGACCTATTTTATCTTTTTTCTGTCTTCTCTCTTAAAGGGGGGAGATGCTGGTCGAATGGTTAGCATGTGCACGCTGTATCATAAGGCCTGTCATTGAGTCAACTGGCATTGTTTTGAATCCCTGGTTGTACGTGACAAGGAGTAGGGTTGCCTGTCCAACCTCATGGTTTTTCTCCGGGTCCTCCGGTTTCCTCCCACTGCTAAAGACCCCTACGTGCAAGCGACTTATTGAAATAAAATTAAACCATATGTTAGTCCCGAAATGACCAAGTTTGTGTCGAGTGGACGTTAAACCCCATTTCTCTCTCTCTCTCTCTCTCTCTCTCTCTCTTAAATTTACCTGATATAAGGTCATTGTATAAGAAGAAATAGTGAGGAAAATATGAGTTGAAACTAATTTAAACATTACTATTTTTCAGATTTGTTGATCAACAGCCCAAAAGGAAATGTTTCTCGAGATCTGTTATTACATAAAGTTAGCTTAACGTTGAATATGCCGGAAGTCATCAGATGGGGGCCATCTTGTAATAAGGCAGTCAGGGAGGAATTTCCACATTCTATGGCACAGAGAAAAGGCAAATTCAAGAAATATCCTTTTATATCAACAGTTAATCATAATTTTTAACTGTCAATTAATTTCTTTATCATACAGTCAACAATATATTTTGGAATTTTGCATATTATTCACCATATTTTGATTTCCAATTGCGCATATTCCTTGTCGGACGTTTGGATAATCGTGTAGGACACGTTTGGAATATACAAGCAAAATAGCATCCCTGGTACATGTAGGTTATACATTTTGACCAAGAATTAATTTTACACCATTTAATTGTTTTAAATACAGTGCACTCTGTCACATCTGACGTCTGATCACTTGGGCACTCTGTTACATCTGACACCATTTTCATGTCCCGATTTATTTCCTTATTACTTCAGCCAAAAAATCTCTGAGTAATTCGACCTTTGTACATTCCGGATTACGACATTATTGTATAATTTGGAGAAAAATGTCAAGAATTTCAACTTAAAGCATCAGATATACAATTAAATTGGGATTTTCTCTGTGACGATATAAATCAATTCACAAATTGACAAAATGACAGGTAATAGACACAGGACAGGAATGGGTAACAATTAGCCTCTTCGTTTTAACCACATCTATTTTTATGACTCCTTGACTGTTTATCACAACCTATTTTTTTGGAGTAACTCTAGTTGATCAGATACAAGAACAAGAAGAACTCAGTGATAGTGACATGAATTATCAACCATTAAGAGACATGTCACATGATCTAGAGCGTATTTTAGAACACCTCCCTGGTACGTAGATCTCAGTTTTCTTTTAAAATTGTTATACATGACCTGATAGCAGGGCTGGGATTAACCATAAAGCAAAATAAGCACATGCTTAGGGCATCATGGGAAGAGGGGGGGCAGCACAAAATGTCTGCTTTCTTTTATGCAAAATTTAAAATATTGGAGGATGGACGAATAGTTTGAATGAAGAATTCACCGTTGGTTTATTCTGAACAGATCAGACCTCAAAAACATGATTTTATTGGGTTTTCAGCACTGATGAAATGGACAGGAAACTATGTATCAGGAATATCACGAGATGATGTATTGGAACTTCTAGCTCAGAGAATAGAAGAAAGGGAGGTAACTCACTGGGGTGTTCAGTGTAACCGAGCTGTTCGTATGCTCTTTCCTGATGTTCAGATGAAGAGAAAAGGAAAATACAAAACATATCCTTTGCATTAAATCAAAAATTAAATAAGAAATATTAATTTAGTTATACATAATATAAAACTACATATGAGGTCAACCCACAAATAAACCGAGCCCATATAAGAGGGTATGGTGGTACCCTGCCGGGTTAAGATTAACCCATCTAAGTCTAAAATTGGGGTATAGAGAATTTGTTAAAATGCTGCTATGAGGGGCTACTGCTCCTGAGATTTCCTCATGTCGCCGAAGATATGGTGGTACCTCGCTGGGTTAAGATCTCCGCCACTATGCCTAACATTAGTGTATAGAAAATTGGTTAAAATGCTGCTATATGAGGCTACTGTTCCTAAGATTTCCTCATATTGTCGAGTATATCATGGTACCTCACTGGGTTACGATTAACCAATCTATGCCTAACATTAGTGTATAGAGAATTGGTTAAAATGCTGGGATGAGGGGCTACTGCTCCTTAGATTTCCTCATATCACCTAGTATTTGGTTCTTAAATATATCACATCTAATGACAGATGTTTTGGGTGTGGTCGTCCAGTCTAAAGTGTAGTTTAATATTATATAAGGATGAATTGACATGTTTACATATTAAAATAAAAAACACGAACTTACAAGAAAAGTAAATATTTTTAATTATGAACCTTAATTCGTTGTACTACTGTCTTTTATGGTGTGGATTTTATAAATAAACAAGATGCACAGGTTAGTTCTTATTAGACTATTTATATACTCATGACATTGTCTAACATGACATTACTAAAAATATTCTTTAAATCTCTTCCTTATTAGAAAATACTCATTATCAGAGAGAGAGAGAAATGGGGTTTAACGTCCACTCGACACAAACTAGGTCATTTCGGGAATAACATATGGTTTAATTTTATTTCAATAATTCGCTTGCGCATAGGGGTCTTTAGCAGTGGGAGGAAAAAGCACATCAGGCACTCAAGCCATTTACTAGATGAATATCTAAAAGCAGAGTTATATATAGTCTCCCAATAGGTGGAATGTTTTGGATAATGTGAGGGATTAGCCAATGAAACGATCTGTTATGGCGAGTTCTTGGCGTGCGATGCATGGAACTGTGGGTAAACCACTAGAAACGTTACCGCTGGTTCATTAATCAATGTCTGACGTCATAGGGTCAAAAGCCACTTGTATGACCCCTGACACGACCATCCACTACAACCGGTTAGATTTTCATGTAATGTAGGCCATCGAAAGCATGAAAAAATGAAACGAAATATAGATCTGTATTTTAATCAGATTGGAAATATATCTTTAAAATGTAATTCTTTCAATATTTTTAACATCAACTAAATGGCACCGAGAACAGCTTTTGGCCTGGATTTTACCTTCCACATTCCACACATCCCAGTTATTTATAAAAAAAACAACATTTCTTTTGTAGAAACTGACTAAAGTTGAAGATAAAGAAGAGAGTCTACCTATTCACTTCCGTGATGAGGATATGAACCCTAACTCCCCCTATCCTAGTATTAATAATAATCCTATGTTAAGTTATAATCCAATGGCTTTACAGGTAGGTGGACTGTAATTACAACACTGGCAAAGGACAATGTATAGCTGTTCGGAGGGGATAAAAAACATGTCATGTGTACATGTTGGCATGCACGTAGAGGATCCCTTTGCAAGGGGAATTTGATATAAGAGTAGACTGTAGTGCCGCTGTCTGGGCAAAATTCCCTCATACTACACTGTATGACGTATGTCTTGATTAGCATAGTAAGAGCAGAACAGTAGGACGTTAAACCCCATTTCATTTCATTTTAATTACAATACTAGCTTTACTCACAGTTCACAGGGGGTTGGGTGGCCAAATGGTTGAAGGCATGTACTTTAGATTATAAGGTCTGTCTGTCATTGAGTCAAGCTGCTTTCAACCCCCCACTTATACGGGACAAAAAGGCAGGGTTGTCTGCCCATACCTGTAGGTCTTCTTCAGTTCCTCCACCTTTCCTTCTATGGGTATTCTGACTTTATGGGAGCTATGGGTAAACCTAACAGAAGGGTGTCAATGGGTAAACCTATGAGATCAGATGTACATGTAAGAATTACTGCCAGATCAGATGGGCAACCCATTTTGCAGAGGTGGGAACAATTCGTGGGACTCAAGTTTGAGTCAATTCCAAAGTTGCAGGACCTTGAGTCCGAGTCTAGACCCAAGTAGCCAACTTTAGTACTGTGTCAAGTATTTGCAAAGCCTGAGTCCCATTCAAGCTGCCAGTTTATCATGTGAGTCATCAATTCATGGTGAATAAGGTATGTTAAAGTTGCCCCTTCGCCGAGACTCGAGTCGTAAGCCCATTTAAATCAGGTCTCGAGTCGAGTCACAAGTCAGGTCATTGATGCGACTTAAACCGGATTAAAGTTCTCACCTCTGCCATTTTGTAGTCCATGGTTTTCTCGTAAGTTTTTATGAGCATAAATCACAGCTAGATTAAATTGAATATTAATCTTTTATAAATATTTTTCAGCATAATGAACTTGCCATGCAGTACCAATCACAACTGTTTAATATGTGGAGATTTATGTCACCATTCCATCATTTCTCCATGCATCCTAATATGGATATGATGGGCATGGGAGGAAACTCATTAACAAAGGGAGATAACTCCATCAGCACGACCAGCTCACCTAATCATCAAGGTACAGAATCACCAGTATTAAGTGTTGGCAGTAAAAGTGATCTGGATCAATTCATGGGCAGTAACTCTAGATCTCCTCTGGTTGTCGAGGACGCCAATCAGTCATTAAATAACTGTAGCGCTGAAGAGAGAAAAGATCGTGAAACAAATGGAATAGTTTCTGCTAGCCCCGTACCGGTTGTGTCATCGTAAGAAATGTTAAAAAGAGATGACATCGCGATGGAAATATTGTGAAGAAACTAAAACAATATCGAACTATGATGATATTTTGTTGAAAATGTATTGGTTGTGTTTATCATTTTTTCGTATTCACTCACTGAAAAACTTTTATGGTGAAATCAAATAATTTTCACATTTCATTTAGTATCAAAGTTTGCAGTGGGAGTGTCAATCATATCAAGGCCTGGAAATAACGGTTTTAGATGTACCAGACAAAATGTCAGGCACTAATGAAATAGTACCTGACATTTACAACTTAGTGTCAGACATGTATTAATAATATCAATAAAAAAGACTAATCAGTGCCGGACAAAATGACAGGCACCAGAGGTTTAGTGCCTGACAGAGCCTGAATCTGTGCCTGACATTGTCTGTGACAGGTGCCTTTTTTCCAGGCTTGCTTATAATCATATCTTATGTTGTTAAGAGGTTCATGTATAAGTGTGTGTATTTGAGTTATTTGTGCCATATTCCTAATTAATGTGTCAAATTTTATTTTGAATATTCTTGAACCGAAACTTAAAATATTTTGTGATTCTCTTAACCCTTTAGCACTTGGTATATGTAAAATATTGACTACCTGGGTTCCATGAAAAAAGACTTCATGATTGAAAGAACTAGTGTAGTTGACATCCTTGGTATCGGCAGTGGTCTTATTCCGTTTTACTCCACTATACTCTAGAGTCATCTATGGGGTATTCACATATCAAAATTATCTGCTCTTGATTGAAGCTTGATTCTACGAACCAATCAAAAAAACAGTTTATAAACCATTCTTAGCCACATTGTTTACATTCACATCGGCAGCTTGTTCGCTCGAATATGAGAAATTTAATATAGAGAAGTGACATGCACACAAAAAGATGTCCTAAAACATCTTTACGATGGGAAAGATGTTTTTATGTCAGTCAAAACAGGCAGTGGAAAGTTGTTATGCTATCAAGCGTATCGGTCAATTATCACATCCATCAAGGGCAGATAATTTGAATACATGTCCCCCCCCCCCATGGATGAATTCAGGGGTTAGTGGAGTGAAATGGAATCAATCTGGTTAAAACACAGATCCTATTTCGTTTCGTTTTTATAGTTCAAAATTTCGTTTTACTCTTTACTACACTTGGATCTGGAAGAGTTGTTATTTAACTCGTGTTCTGAATGCTGTCAGGGATAAGCCAATGAAACGGTCTGTTACGGCGAGCTTTAGGCGTGTTTTTCACGGACCTGTGGGTAATCCACTAGTATTATCAATGCTGATTGGTTAATCAAATGTCTGACGTCATAGGTCATAAGTCGGTCGTTTGACCCCTGACGTGACCTATCGCTATAACTTGTCAGATCTTCATGTAGTGTAGGCCATCGAAAGTATAAAAAAACAAAACGAAATATAGATCTGTATTTTAATCAGATTGAAATGGAATGAGACCACTTGGGATATAGAGGATATATAGTTGTCAGCTGTTCATGGGACCCCATGAGGGAGCAGTAATTTGGGGCAGTTCAGTTCTAAAGGGTTAAACAGATTTTGTTTAATTTATGACTTTTAAATTGATTATTTAAATCGATTATTTAATTTAAACTGTTAATTTTCTGTTACAAACTTTTTTTTATCTTCTTCACTTTGCTTGTTATATTTGCACAGAATTTAACCTAAATAATTATTTATTTATTTGCCAAAGCTAGATAGATTAATCCTTTTACATAAATATTAAGTACAGGAAAGCAAGAAATTAATGCATCATGAAATTAGGTTAAAATATGACTGTTTTTTTCAAGCAATATTTAATTTTCCACGGTTTAATCCATGTACTCAAATTGATTATTTTTTATTTAGGAGGGGTTGGATGGGCGAATGGTTAGCGCATGCGCATTGTATCATAAGGTCTGTCATTGAGTCATCTGGTGTGCTTTCGATTTTATTTCAATGATTTGCTTGAACGTAGGGGTTTTTAGCAGTGGAAGGAAACCGAAGGACCCAGAGAAAATCCACAAGGTTTGACAAGCGACCCTACGTACAACCGGTGAATCGAAACCACGCCAGTTGACTCAATAACAGACCTTATGATACATCGCTCATGTGCTAACCATTTGGTCATCCAACCCCACTCTATTGCTTTGAGGTGGAGTGTATGTTTGACAGTACATAAAGATACATTATGTAAGATTTAGATAAAGAGCTAACCATTCTTGCTATAATAGTTCGAAAGTAGATGATGTAAAATGAATAATTTGAAAATTTCATTCAAATTACTCTATTGCAACCGAAGATATTAGCCTTTGAAGGCTTGACAGACGTGTGTAATAATTTTAACCACCGTACTGGTTGATCAAAGCTAAGTCTCGGTCCCCCATATTTGATTAAATCAAAGTATCGCTGAACCATTCTAATCTATTTAATATCGGAGAAATTTGATGCCATCGAGAGTTGATTAAGGCCTGGATCAGTTAATTAATGTCTAATTAATACTTTAAAAAACATTTCAGGCCTAAAGAAAGACCTGCAATAGGCAGATTTAGCTCTTGCATAATGCATGTTTAATATTGATAACATTTTAGAAACAAATGCATTTTAAACTTTAATTTCTTGCTGTCAATAATTTCTTGCTGTCAATAATTTCTTGTGTTATACTGGTAATACTAGGTTTTCACTATCACGATTTGTGCTACGATTGAAATCGTGGTTTTGATCGTGGAGTAATCATGGTGATCCTATCAAGTCTTATATATTGTGGTCAGTCGTAGCAATCGGGTATCGAAACGTATAATAATAATAATAAATACTTTATTTCAAAAGGGTTGAAAATTAGGCCAATGACGTATCTGAACGTGAGAGAGAGAAATGGGGTTTAAAGTCCACTCGACACAAACCAGGTCATTTCGGGACTAACACATGGTTCAATTTTATTTCAATAATTCGCTTGCGTGTAGGTGGTCGTTAGCAGTGGGAGGAATCCGGAGGAGCCGGAGAATACCCACGAGGTGTATCTGAACGTATATGCACGTACCAGATCATGGACTCAATTACAGGGTTCCCGCGGCTTTGTCAAACATTTTTTCAAGGATATTCAAGGATAAATATACGTCAAATTCAAGGATTTTCAAGGACATTTTTTAGCCTAAAGTTACAATTTTTCATCTTAAAAATAACCAAAACATTACCAACTATCGGTATAATCTCATATTTAAAAGGAATTGAAGACATTTAAAACAAAATTAAGGATCTCAACTGAAATTCAAGGATATTTTCCTATTTCCGCGAAATTCAAGGATATTCAAGGACCGCGGGAACCCTGAATAAGGACAATCCTATCGTATTGTAACGCACCACGCGACAGTGAGAAACTAGCATGTTTCTGCTTGTGCTACACATGCGTATCATCTAGAGAATGTTTTAATATTTATAGTGATGTACAGAAAATTTGTTTGTTATAATTGTCGTTGAAACATTGTTTTGTGACAGTCTCTCCAAATTTCTTAATACTACTACATTAAGTTTCACATTTTGAGAAATTAACCATTTAGATAAAGAGCTGGCCGTGTTTGCTATAATAGTTAAATAATAGATAATGTAAAATGAATATATTGAAAATTACTTTATTCTGGGCGACGTTATTGCTCTTTGAAGTTTTAACTTACATTGTTTATTATCGCAGCAACATACCTGTTGATCAAGACTCAGCCTTGCCTCTTCATGTTTAAATTAAATCATTAAATGGCAATCATATTTTAATCTGTTTACATCTGTGCAATCCGATGGTCTAGAGAGTTGATTATAGACTTGTCATGTGAATAAATGTCTAAATAATTTATGTATCATTTGAAGCCAAAATAAAACCCTGTATTTGGCAGAGTTGGTGCTTACATAATACATCTTCAATGTGAATAATTACTAAAAAAGTAAATGTTATTCTGGCCTTATTAAAGATACATTAGTTAAGAGTTTAATAAAGAGTTGGTCATTCTTGCTATAATAATTCAAAAATTGATGATAAAAAAAGAAAATATTGAAAATTTCATTCAAATTACTTCATTCTCAGCCAAGTAATCATTGTTTGTAGTTTTGACAAGATGTGTGCACAGTGGTAACTAGGGCACTGGTATAATCGTGACTTGACCTCGCTTTCCCATTTTTAAATTAAATTTTTAAATGGTGAACCGTTTTAATCTAGTTAAAATCTTGAGTATCCGATGCCATCGAAAGTCGATTATGGTCTTGTTTTGTTAATAAATGTCTAATTAGTAGTTTAAATAAAATTTCAGTCCTAAAGAAAGACCTGCAATAGACAGATTTAGCTCTTGCATACTGTATGTTTAAGTGAATTATTAATCGGCCATTTTGTTTTATTATAATTTTTGGTGAGACTGTCTCATACAAAAGTGACTTGTTTATATGTATAAATTTATATCTGTTTATGAGTATAAATATATTATGTGAATTTACTCCTATCGAAGCAGTCAAGAAATATTTAAGTCTGTGAAGGTTGACTTAGATAAGTGCCATAATGACAGTATGTCTATGTAGATATAGTTGTATGTCTGGGAAGCAGTTTGTTTTTCTTCCTAGATTGTATATATATATTAAATTATTTATCTATTATATAATACTCATCTTTTATTTTATCTTTATTATATTTACAGTGAAATCAAAGTTTAAAGGAGAAATCCCCTCTATTTCACTTTTTGGGGATCAAGTTTAAAGGAGAAATCCCTCTTTTTCATTTTTTGGGGATCACGTTTAAAGGAAACTTCAAGTAGAAGATTCTTCTCTATAATTTGGGGGTGGGGTCAGAAAACATAAATAAGATGGTAGGCTACCTCTATTTCATTGTTTTGTGACGGTGGGAGGGAAAGGTGAAGTTGAAAGGAACCTTAAATGTAAACGGGTAGTTCCCTTTATTTTATTTTTTTGGAATGCATTTGAAAAGAAACTTAAATTAGAAATTTGGCCTCTTTCTTTATTGGGGAATGAGGTTGAAAGGAGACTTGAAGGAGAAGTCCACTCTCTTTTACTTTTTGGTTAGTTTAAAGGTACTTAAAGGAGAACATTCATCTATTTCAGATAATTTTATGAAATTATGAAACTCAATAAACTATATTATGTACATGTAATCTTCTACCTCCCAGGAAATTTAAAGTCTCCCTTAATCAATATCCAAAGCACTCAAAAAATAAATTATAAAAATATCACTGTTCTGATATTATTTCAATCTGATTAAAATACAGATCTATATTTCGTTTCGTTTTTATACGCCCATATTGAAATGTGGTCGTATATTGTTTTATACTTTCGATGGCCTACACTACATGAAGATCTGACCGATTGAAGTGGAAGGTCATGTCAGAGGTCATACAAGCGGCTTTTGACCCTATGACGTCAGACATTGATTAATCAATCAGCGTTGACGTTTCTAGTGGTTTACGCACAGTTCCATGCAGAGCACGCCAAGAAGTCGCTGCAACAGATGGTTTCATTGGCTAATCCCTCATGCTATCCAGAACGCAGGTTATATAACAACTCTTCCAGATCCTAATGTAGTAAAGGCAAGTAAAATGAAATTTTGAACGAAATAGGATCTGTGTTTTAACAAGATTGATATTATTTAAATTGAACATTATATCTATATAGTATATATTAGATATCTGTAAACACTCAAATCGATAAAAACGTTACTAAATAGGGGTAAAAAATGGTGAGAAGATGAACGTTTGTTTTTAAATTAGAAATGTTATTTTTGATTAGTTGTTCTTTATGTCTGTGATATCTTGTGTTTTATAGAACTCTAACCTTATTGTACTCTTTGTGGCCATACACAAAAATTATCCTGGTTCTCTGGCAATCCATACAAAAAATCTGATGCGGGAGGGAGATTTTTATTATTGTGTTTTTATTTTGTTTGGTCATCTAGTATCATTTATGATTTTCACTAACATTTATCAGGGTTGTGTACTTGATAATTGAGTCACATTTCTGAATTCATTGAGTTATTATAGAGTTATTTCCTGTAACCAGGGGTAAAACATCTATGTATCGTAATTAAAGAGGTTTTTATTTTTTATGTGAGAGCCAGAATATTTTTTTTATATGACCGTAGTAATTTTTTTGTAGTTATCTCCCCGTTTCTACTCTCAATACACAGTTTACAAACATATGCCAAGGGCTTCTACTTTAACCATATTACGAACAGGACTTTTTGTACCAGGAACTTTGCGCCAAGAACATTTTATCTTCTTGTTCTAGTTGTTGTTGAGCTTCGTCTGGAGGGCAATGTTCTTCGGGAAAAACCCCCCAAAGACTCAGCCAATTCGAGTATGATCAACATAAAACTTGGAATATTTATTCCTTGGACAATTGTGCATCGATTGACGGATTTCGATATTAGGATTTTTTTTTCTAAATTATATTTTTACTGAAACTGGATTGGAGAACAGGCAGAAGCCCATAGACCCCCTCTCCATATTAGGATATGACATCACAATTCCAAGATGGCTGTGATGACATCAAGCTTGGTTCCTGATACATAGTACGCTCATACATGTTTTATTAAATTTGTTAAAATATTTTTTCTTCTTCATGCAGTGTAAAACAATTTTCCTTGAATGTTTTAAGCATAATTCCAGTACTGTTGTGCTCTTTAAAGTGTAATTTGAAAATATCACCTTTATGGAGTGAAGTTGACATATTTGAAATTAGATTCACAAGTAATCCATTTAAAGACAATATTTCTACATTAACCAAAGGCGTGAAATATTGAATGATAGAATTGTAGAACAAGGAATGGAAGACAATTACATGATTTCCACTCATATGAATTGCCATATTCCTGAGGTTTCATTCAATGGTACATCACTCTATCAACATATATTTTGCTTAATGAAGGAGAACTGTTTTTTAATCACATTTTAGTTGAGTTTAATGATACTCTATGGTTTAGCCTAATTCACTCAATCCAGTGAATATTAGTGGCAATCAGCCTTAAAGATTTAATTAAATCACATTTGTGTATAACAAAAAAACATTAATCAGTTTTTTGAACATTTTGCGAATTTAGAGGCGCCATAAACATAATACTGCCACTATTGATCAAGCTTGTATTTTTCTTAACCAATTTTTTTTTCATTTTGGAGATTATGAATTATAATTTAATAAATATCAGAGAAGAAATATATGATACGTCATAATGGCGGACGTGATTAATCATGCAATATTTTTAGATTTTTACTTAAAAAAATTATATATGAAAAGTTCATCATCTTTAAGATACATATTATACTTATTACAATAATTATTGTTTGTTTGTTGATTTGGTTATTATTTGTCATATCATAATATGAGTACATAAAATGTACACAGAATATAACATATTAAAATATGGAATATCAAATGGAATTTGTTGATTTTTATGAGAGAGAGAGAGAGAGAGAGAGAGAGTATAGAATATCAAATGGCATTTGTTGGTTTTTATGTGAGAGATAGAGACAGAGAAAGAGAGAGAGAGAGAGAATATGGAATATCAAGAGAGAGAGAGAGAGAGAGAGATAGATTGCCCACTGGACACAAACTAGGTCATCTTGGGACTAACACATGGTTCAATATTATTTCAATATATCGCTTGCGCGTAGGGGTCTTTAGCAGTGGGAGGAAACCGGAGATCATGGAGAAAACCATGCGACCCTAATCCTTGTCACGTTCAACCGGTAAATCGAAACCACGCCAGTTGACTCAATGACAGAGCTTATGGTAGAGCACGCACATGCTAACCATTCGGCCATCCACCCTTCCCTGTTTATTTTTATATATCTACATATACCCCTGTCCATTGAGCACAGTTGCTAGTGGATGCTGTAGAGGTTGACGTTATCACCAGATTGATAATGTTTAAGTTCACGAGATGAAGAATCCTATTGATTTTCAATGATTACTGATAATTAATGCCAGAGTTACGGTCCTTGATTGATTTGAGAAATTGTTTGCACACTCTAGAGCCTAAAGTTTATCATTCCAATTATACACAGACAGTTTTGTTCACGTAATGAAAAAGCCCAGCATTGATTTCAGAGTTATTGCCCTTGCTCAATTTTTAAAATCTTATGGACCCTTTTGTGGTTAACGCTATTTTTGATTGATTTGGAATAAATACATTGAATATATCTTCATGAGACGAACAATCCAATTGATTGATACATAGGGTTTCATCTTCATAAGACGAACAAGGCATCAGTCAATTGATTACAGGTACATGTTTTGTAAACGTGGAACTACAGTGAAAATAGCCTGGACACGAGATTCAAAGCGATTTCCCAATTCTTGCACTAGCCAATTGTATTTATATCTGATTC